GCAGGTTATAAGCTACACGGTCTCTCTTATAAAGAAACTGGTTGCGTATTTATTGTTTCAATTAATGAGCGCTTGGACGCGACGGCTTCGTGCGAACTCTTTTTAGGGTAGAATCTTATATGGCCACAAAGGTTCAGCAGTATAGTAGATTAATCACTCCATTTACCAGCCTATACGTTTTGATGGGTACCGGGCCCATCATGAAAACTGGGCAAAAAACATTCGAAGGCAGTGCATAAAACCAACGTTGTGGCACTGGTATTCGATTACAGCATCGCTGGAGACTGCCTATTGTTACCTTTTGGTAGCCTAGCGGTTCTGCCTCTTCTGCAGCCACTGCACTAACGAAGTTTTCTCAAGTGGGTTTATGTAGATTTATTGGCTACCAGGAAGCTAGGAATAGATATTGACCACGACAATAAAAGGCGTAATTAGAACTGAAATTGGCATAGAAACTACCAATGCCTTGAACTCTTCTTTACAACTTACCTGTTTCTGCGAGAACACGGTCACTTCGGGAATTCCGTATTCAGCTCCAGCAAATAGGAGAGCCCCAAGTAGGTTGTGTTGTCCATCGCTGCAAAGCTGCGTTATAGGAAGCTCCGAACCGGTGAGCACAACAGGCTTTTCTAGGTTCTCGAAAATAAACGACAAGGCCGAAGCAGCACAAGGTAGGGTATCGGTACCGTGAAGGATCACAAAACCGGTGAAGTGATCATACCACCGCTCAATATCTTTTGCTAGACTGATCCAGTGATCCATGACACAGTTAGAAGAATCAAGTAACTCCTCATATTCTATTACCCTGTAGAGAATTCTATGCTTTCCCGCAGTTAAAGGTGTAGCGAGTGTAACTGAAGCAGTTGCGGGCCTACATGTTGGCAGTCGCGGGTTGATTTGTTCCTTTTTCTTTAACTCCTCGCGCTTTTCGTGGCAAAAACTGAGAGAGCAAATGCACAATATCAGCAAATGTTCAGTGCCTTGAAGGCATAAAATTTTTCGAAAAACTTATATCTTACATTTCGATAACAACAATATTCCCACTTTGCATTTTCAAACAACAGCAGTAGCTACTGAGCAAGGGCAGTAAAATTAATCCTTTACATATGATATCGACGAAAATAGATAAGAAACAAATATATTTACTCGGGCCTATTCGCAGTCATCAATTCTACTACTTAGCTGCAAGTGTGTGTATCCAGGCGCAGGGCTATTATTTTAGTGCAAAGTGGAAGAAGGCATACAGCTTATTCGGATCCTTACGTTGGGTGACAGCGATCCATCAGGTCTAAACATTCGTCGTCGTTATTTTTGATCAACAAAGAAAAATACTAGTCGACCATGTACGTAAATGAACTATAAGACAATAATACGATTCTGTCCATGCAAATATACATTTAAGGACAAAAAACACAGAAACAAGGCAGTAGGAACGTACGAAGCGTCATTAAAAATTGGCATTTGAGTGAGATAGTTCGTAAGGTAATGCGGTTCCGGCTCATATGCTCCATGTTTAGGCTGCATACCAATTGCGCCTCCCGTGTAGAGGACCAAAACTGATCCCACAGATTCACAGCCTTCTTCCTTCTTGGCATATTCCACCAGTTCCTTCTCTAAAATGACGTAGTCTCGGCCGTTCTGGTAGCACAGAATAATGCATAGTTTTACCGAAAGTGCGGTCAAAAGAAACTAAGTTATGCAACCGCAAATTACTGAGAAATATACTTTTTATAGGATTGATTTTTTAACTTTCAATTGTAATGAAAATTGTGCCATAAAGGTAATATGACAGACCTCCATTGTTTCCAAGTAGCACCTCAAAAATAAAAAAAGCACTGAGTCAAAATTTCATCCAAAGTCTGCGATTGATGATCGATGAGCTAAGGCCAATTAAAAGGGTAACAAGCTGGATTCAAACGGATGAAATACTGAACTTATTTTTCTCGTGTATAAGATTTAGACGCAGAAATAAGAAGGCAACATTTGTAGCGCATTTTCATCCGGAAATTGACATATTTTGTATTTAGTATATATTAAGCGGACAATTTTCACAGTAGACTTGTCGGATGTGCTTATATTACAAACCCATTTCCACACTAATATCAAGGCTTCAATAAGGTTATATCAATTTATTGGATACATATGTATGAATGCCTTGACTAAGGAGCCTACTTTTCGAAAATTGGGCTAAGTACCAGGAGTTCTTGGCTCCACCAATTTGTTAACGAGCAAAAATATGTCACATTCACCGCTTCAAAATGAACGTTTTTGACAACAGTCATAAGAAAACCATTCACCAAGTAACAATCAGTGAAAGCATTTTCTTGAAGTGATGATATTTGCTTACCTTAAATTCTATTTACGTTCATAGGTGGCTTAGACTGTCGCAAAGATTATATCATACTTCGATTTCTGGAGCAATAACGCACAGTCTGCGTACATAGATGCCTTTTCTTCAGTCAACTTTCTACTTTCGTGTTTATCGTCCAGCCTCATGCATTTTTATAGCAAAACTTACACCTTCTCCATAAAAATACAGTTGCATTTTAACGTGGAGAACTGCCGTACCTCGCTCCCATATGTGGCATTTACTGATTCAGTGTACGAGTTCTTTTTTGGTTTGATGATCATCAGTAACCATAAGCTGCATCTGGCTATTAGGGGCAAGCGTGAAACATTTATTTAGGCAGTCACTTTTGGGCCCTTCATAAATGGAGTATCTTACGAGGGCACCAAAGTACGGTGACGGTCACAATTACTACTATAATTGGGCAATAGATTTGTCATCGACGCATCTAACAATAGTATTTCCATGCCTATTAACCCCGAAAACCGAATCTATCTCCAGAGAAATGAGTTACGAGGCATTTTGCAGCAAACGGAATACGCTTTTAAATCCAATCTATCCCCTAAGTTAATGTTAGAGAAAAAATAAGTAGCTATGTATGAAGCGCATAAAGTCTTACACTTTCATAGATAGCTATGAACCTATCTAAGGCAATCTGATATTTTGCAGACAAGATGATAATATGCAATATTTTTCCGGTATTGGTAGCCTTAAGTCCCTAGATGTAACTATTTGTCCCCATGATACAGATGAGCATTTAAATATATTTGCAAAAAAAACAATTATATTGACACCGATCCTATGAATTGGGCATATCTTATTGAAAATTCTTACTTATCATGCCTTGTATACCCAGACATAAGTGTTCAATCGTATGAGCTCTGTACAAATGGATTAAACCTATTTAAGCTTTTTAGACAAATCTAAAATGTTTCAAATTAGTGAACGAAAATCTTTTGATTTGATAGCCGAGCAAACACCCGAGCCCATATAATGAAACCCAATTTTCCAGGTGAGCCCTCTATGCTACAACCCCAATTTAGCTCTGATCCACTGTCATCAATTAAAATTCCTCCGCATACAACTAGAACCCCTAAACTCAAAATGTTGATGGTTCATTGGAATCTCGGGTATATCAATAAAAAGATTCGATATTTGGGAGCTTTATCACAGATCTCAAACAGCTGCTTGTTATAGATTACCTGCTATTTCGATCGTAATATGAGGTAATCTATAACAGGCAGCGTTTTGTGACACTCGAGTGTCACAAGAACGTGCATGTGCAAGTGTTTTAGTCTCTGAACCTCCATTGTCAGCGTTAAGCTTATCAGTTAAGAATGATTAGGGGTTTGAAAGATTTCATTGATTTGATTGATCCATCTGTGAAAAATTTGCGGCCTCTTTGGTAGAGGAACTTACGTAGGTTCGACTCCCACAGAGAAAGCGAATTTTTCGCGGATGCATCAATCGAATTAAGAATTATCTTTAATAAAGCATGCAATAATCTTAGTATATTAACACGTCCAGAACTAAATGCCCTCCAAATTGGACACTGTTTTTCAGTCTGAATTTCTGAATAGCACAATGAAAATAACATTTTAAGACTCGAACAGAATTATGGGGCTAGTGGTATCTAAAATGGCAGAACAACTTCACTGTTACCAAAAAGAATTAAACTTTTATAATTTTTAGCAATGAATCTGCTGCCTTTGTTGAGTTTGATAAACATAAAATAAACGTAAAATAAAATAAACTCGCTTTTCCATTACGAATTTATTATAGTGGTGAGTCAAATATCAACTCCGTTTTTCTCTTATCAATACATGATAGTCACAGTGATAGCATGAATGCAAAAACCGCATCTAATTTACCAATACTTTTAACTGTTATGCTCTCTTCCATGTCGCATTTAAATACTTCACATGTCACCTTAAAACGCTGACGTTCAGTAAACTTATCAAACTAAACAAAGTCGAGGATGTTCGCAGGCAGCACCCAGGCGTAATGTAATTCAATTTCACGCCCTTGGATTCACTTGTTAATTTTTAATTTTGTCTTTCCTTCTAAGCTGAATGGACGGTCCCTAATCCATCGTACTTATCTTACGTTCACGGAATTCCAGTCGAATGACTTTAATTACCATCGGGGGCCGTTGGCTAACGTTAAATTCATCAAAAAAGTTTGGCCGTTCCTGTTGCGTAAACCTTATATTGTCTGCTCCGACCATAAGGTCTTCCGATGGTTGTTAACCACTAAAGACGCCGAAGGTCAACGGGCTCAGTGGCAGGAAATACACGTTCACTTGCATTTACCGGCCGGGCGAGTAACACTCAAACGCGCACACCTTGTCCCATCGCCCGTACATATTCCACGAGGCTAAAACACCAGGTGTGATTAGCTAACTAAACGCGATACGCTTTTGTGAACCTACACGCAATCACTAAACCATCACCCAAATTATCGATCCGGACACAGCGATCGTAAACGATCACCTTTCTCATAGTTGAGATAGACCTATGGATTTAAATAAGGTCGGCCCTTCGGAGAAGGCCTATAGTCTCCGCGACCGATGTCCGCATCTCACCATGCACAATGATATTTTACTGTCATCCCGATTTGTCCTTCATGGTAGCTAAGTGTATCCTGTCTTAAGGGATCTACATCGCAAACTAGATCATATCAGACAACACAAAAGAGAGCTAGTGGCGCGAATACGTGAACAAGTCAATACATTCTGTTATTCATGCCCAACCCGTGCCTCTTTTAAAAACCCAACATGTGACATACAGTCTCCACTGCGGTCATTGCCAACCGGTTTTCTTTTTCAAGGTGAGGGCATATATATTACTTGCCTCCTCTCTTTCACAACTGCTGTTTGCCGATTTATTCTGGTTATGGCGGACGCCGCGCATCTTACTAAAAATCGTGGTATCAGTCACCACTGCCCCTTTTAACAAATGGATATAAAGTTCTGGTGCACCTTTGTCTTTCCATGCCGATTATGGTGCAAATAATAACTACATGGTGTGTGCTAACTCTACAGCTCTATAGGACACGCAAACCGCCCTTCCATCCCGAAGGTTACGAAAAAGTTGAACGAATGAATCGGACATTGGCTAATCTTCTTAAAGCTTTTGCGGAGGACCGTCACTCACATGACAGGGATAAACAACTTCCCTCCAATCTGATGGCTTATAAAGCGACTGTTCACGCCTCCACTGACTTAACACCGTTTATAATGATGACGATCGATGAAACAACTGTACATACTGTACATAAACTCAGAACTTATTGATTATGTTTACATTTTCATTTTACTTATAATAAACATTTCACATATACTACACTGTGTCCCCTACCTTTTGACAGAATAATCCGTACGGGGTTGTTTTACGTCGCATCGCGGGGGGTGGGAGGGGGTCGTGGTAGGGTGGTGGTGGTGTGGTGGGTCAGCGGGGTTCTTATCGCGAAAAACTAAATTTGGAAGGGGAGGTTAAAGAAAGCGAAAAGGGGCGTCCCACTGTGCAAATATTTTCCGCAGACGGTGCTAGACGAATTGAAAGCCCCGCCTGCAGTCCCTGCAGTGGCCACTGACGCTTTCGGTGACATTCCGCAAGCCAAATCAGACTCCTGACCAAGACACTATCCACATAGCAGAATTGTATAAGGTCAGTGAGAAAAAAGACATCCTCATCGTTGGG